CTTGGAATTGTCTATAAGGAAATAGCTTCGCTATGCAAACTGGCAAATGCTATGCATCACAGCTTTCTCCCTGGGAGAGCAGGCTGTGGGTACACAGAGCTTGTTAATAGTATGTGAGGCCCTACTGGAATCTAACTTCCCTTCTCTCACCTACCTTTCCCTTACTCTTATGTGTTTCTTCTAGGACATCCTTGATGCATGGAGCTATGTGCCAGGCCTTGGGAGAGTCCCCTCCCTGACTTTGCTACAGACCAAGATCCCTGCAGGAGTCATTAATCAGCCCTATTTCCTGTCCTCCTCCAACCTATTGCTTTCCATTGTGACTTGCAGACTAACCAGAAACATTAATAGCATTTTTCATTAATATTTCTTCTTTGCTTCAGTTGGTTCCAAGAAGGGAGCTGCTGACTTCTTTCCAGGGGAAAATACAAAATATTATCCCTACTATAGGTGATTATAATTTATTAAGCCAGAAAATGTAGAACAATTCTGTTCTCTTTCATCTGAATATATTTCTTATCAGGCCACAAACAAAGGAACTCTCTGTTGGATAATTTTGTCCATTTTGAAAGTAATTCTTTGTTGTTAAGAACAAAGCCATAGATCATCCAAGACAGTAGTGAAATGAGAGATGGTTGTGGATTTATTTTGGTCTCCTGGACTCAAGGGAGGTGAATGATTGGGTCAGGGGTTATAACACTGATTATCTTAGAATGTGCTAGAGAATGAGGTTTCTGGGAAACCTTGTTTCAGGGAAATTGGGAGCCTGGGGAGAGATGGCAAGATGGGGGCTTTGTAATTCCACTTGAATGAGCAAATGGACTTTTGCCCCAAGGTTGAGCCTTCAGTGTCTAGAAAGGAAGGTACTAGGGCTGGGGAGTTAGCCCAGCAGCATAAGCACTTGCCTTCCAAGTGTGGAGTTGTGAGTTTGATCCCCAGTACCAAAAATAAAAAAAGGAAGGAAGGCACTGTGTGGCTGTAGGTGAGTATACAGGGCCCAGAGTTTAGACCAAAATCACACACACACACACACACACACACACACACACACACACACACACAACCTTCAGATTACACAGCAAGCTGCTTGTAGTCACTAGCATTCATCCCAGTTGGAACTCATTCTCCCTGTCCGTTCTCCCATCTCTTTCTAACCCACTCAGGCCCCTCGGACTTTGTCCCCTCTTAGCCTTCTAGGATTCATGCCCAGTTTTCATTTTCTCTTGGCTGCGTAAGACAGTTATCCTTTCTTTCCTGTCTCTCAGGAGGGGACATTGTCAGCCAGATGAGTTGGCACTAGTCTTGTAAAACCCGGATGTGCAAGATGTGCCAAACTTCTTCGGGCTGACACCAGTCACATCACAGGGCATCAGGGTAACATAGACTTTGTCTCTTTACGTGCTCCAACCTATCAAGGATGAAATGAGGAAGGCACTGAGAAAAGGAGAAAGACAGGGATGAGAAAGAGAGGTCAAAGCTCTCCCTTTGATAGCATCCTCAGGCATAACTTTCAGTCTGGGCTACTCTCCCCTCCAAAAAGCTCCCTTGATTCGTAATTATTTTATTTACATATACTGTTTAATTCTGTCTCCCCATCTAGCATTAAGCTCTCTGATGAGCAGCGAACTGCTTGTATTTGTCTTTTCTCTGATCTCGTTCAATTTCTCTATCCCACCAGCTGGAGCATAGCAAATACTCCATCAAGCATCTGCAGAACGGATCAGAGAGGTTATCTCAACTCTACACATGTGCAGGGTGAGGGCTGGAGCATGGAGTAAGTGGTGCGAGGCCACACAGCTAGAATCCAGCTCACACACAAATCTGCCCTGGCCCAGGACTGCTCTGCCTCCCATCTCAAGTGAGGTGTCAGGGTGGAGCACTGCAGGGGGAGCAGGGCAAGGTCTTCCCAGTTTGCTCTCACTGCATTTCCCTGCAAACCAGGAGACTCCCTCTCCTCCTTGCCCCAGCTTCCAGCCCTGCCTCCTCACTGTGTCTCCATGTGTGCTAATTATAGGAGCCAGCCCTGGCTGATCCTCTGTGGAGGGGTTGATTTCACTCCTTGAATGTGGAATCAAGCATCCCTGTAATAAGTTATTCACCCAGCAGGATTCAACTCTTCCAGTGTTACACAGACATTATCAGTTTAATCCTCACCAACCGCATGTGAACCTGGCACTGGTCACACAGCATGATTTCCCTTTAATCAGGAAGGACTGTGAGGGACAGACTTAACAAAAAGCCACAGGTATCACACTTACCTGGAGTACAGCATTTGGGTTTTCAGAACTCAGTAATGGCTAAAGGAAAAAATAATGGTGTCTGTGGTTTCAATAATCTGAATGCTTCTTTTCCAGACATCTAACATTTGGAACTAGTTAAATACATAATTATCATTCCATCTTAAGTTCATTACATGGTGGTATTAATAATCCCTTTCTGTAAATAAAGCACTTCAACATAGGATGAAAAGCCAAGGAGTTTCTTTATAGCTATCAAGCTCTGAAATTAACAAGATTTTTTTTTATACCCTATGATTTTAACTGGTCAGATTCTCATGCCTAAAGAAATGTTTTAAATGCAACTTTTTGAAGTGATTATGCTATTGTGCTGTATCTTTAATATGGTAATATCAAGTATCATACCTTGATATTAAGCACACACACACATGTACACAAAACACTGTTGTCACAAGGAAAACTGATCATATGCATTGAGTGTGGGCACAAACCTTGGTCCATGATAAGCACTTTAAGGGGCCACAATGGACAAGGTCCCCCTACTTTTATGTATTCACCTGCTGGTTTCACACCGTGGACTTCTGTCCCAGACAAACACATATGTGTAAATGTCACACGCATCTCTGCAAAATCCATGAGATGATGGTACATAAGTACACCTCATCTCATTTAATTCTTTCAGCAATTCAGGGAAATACAAAGGATACACTTGTTTTACAGATAAGGAAACTTGAAGAAAGAAAGGGCCACATCTATGGGGCTAGGACTCCAATACTCCCTTCTTTCTTCTGGAACGAGTCTTACCAAAAACCTTAAGGTGGCTCCAGGGGCCTTGGGCAATCAGGACGATATCATGAGGTCTAGATGTGATCCTTGAACAACTGAAGTCACTGTCTCTTACTCCTACCAGTGCTAACAGGCCACATAAAGAGAGCCTCTGAGTAGGATAAGTAAGCAAAGCCACATGCTGCAGTCAAACATTGGGTCTCCTTCAGCCCTGGTGTTTGGTACAGGCGGCTGGAAAAGCTTCTGAATGTCTCCAGGCCTTCAGTTAGGCAAACTGAGAAGAAAAGCAAACACAGTGAAAAGGATCCATGTCTTGGATTACTTGGGTCAACACCAAGCAGAGTTCTGTGTTCACGAGGGCAGAGTTCTGTGTAGATCTGGTTAGTGAATAAATTTCCTACTGAATGCCTCGGGACAGTTTGTCCAAGAGCATCTACTATTTACAGTAATAATGCTTGTTAACATTATTTTTTGAGAGCTTACACTGTGCCAGAATCTAAATGAGTCACACTCATTAGCACATATGAATACATTTTGCTCTTTTTACTACATCTATTATATCACTTGGTCAAATTGTTTCCATTTAAAAATAATAATAAACACATACACAGATGCACATGCAGGCAAATGTACCACAAAGTATTGTTTTCCCTGTGAAGATTTCACCAATTCATTATTATGATTATCTCATCTTTTCCTGTCAAATAACAATTGGAAACCAACAATCCTCAGGGCATCTTTTCTCTGCCTATCGGGGTGGCAGGTGGCAGAGACCGTATCCATCACACCTTCCGATGCTCCGGACACTCTGACTTGCCCACTCTGGCAGCCCTTTTCCCCACTGCAACTGTCTGTCTCACATCACAAATGGCAAAATGACCCAGAAGAGTTAGAATCTGTGCATTTTGCTAAAGAGAAAATCAAAGCATGGAGAAATGAAGCACCTGCCCCAAAGTCGCATACCACAGCCTGTGCCCTTGGCCCCTACACGGTAACTCCCCCACTGTGCAAAGTGAGCTCGTGATCCTGAAAGGAGGACCTCAAGCTACTGTAAGAAGCCAGACACCAACATTAAAACGAAACACATACTAATGTGCATTGTGGCATGTGTTAGTGTCAAGTGAACTTGATCAACTTTCTTGGGAAATAAGCAGGAAATTCTTTTGAATTTAGCTGAATGATGAAGTGCACAAGTTTGCCATTTGCTTACTTCCTATCTTAGGCCTTCCCTACCATGCTGATGTCTGTCTTTCATTATTAAAGACTTCTCTGAATTCCCACTCCTCATTTTTGATGCAGATTTACATTGTGCACCAGGATCGACTGTGATGCTAACTGATAACCATTTGAAACTTTCAATGGTTAACACAGAAAGAGCAAGCGACACTGAACTGAAGCCTCCAGTGGGAGATTACACCTACACAGAGGACACTGTGCTCTCGTGGGTTGCAGTACACCTCTTAGATAATCATACCCTTAGCTGTAACTCTTTACCTCTAAACTTCTGACTATGCCTTTTAAAACAGTAATCTATATTACTCCAAAAGATAAAACATGTTTACAGCAAAACAACAACAACAAAACCCAGTCAAACAGAAAGAAAGCTAAGAGACACCTCAAATTCTTCCTACCTGGAGCCATCACTGGTAACTCAGTGAAGCACTGATTTCTGGGTGGTATGAGATTTTATCTCTACCAATGGGGGCATAATAGCTCTTCATGCATGCAAACAGTTATCTTATCCCTTTCGCAAGTGACCCCCAGCAATGCTTCTCCAGCTCCAGGGACCATTCCTTAGACCCCCTTCCTACCCCTCCCCACCTTTCTCGCTTTGCTCCTTCAGCCTGAGCAGGCAAGATGCTGCTGTCCTGTAGGCCCACACCTCCCTGGACTCCCATACTCAGCTCCTAATTATGGATCTCATTAGATCACCATAACCCTAATAGCTGCATTCTCTTTTCTTTTTGCTCTTCACAGCTTTTTGCAATCTTTGCATTTGCAACATGCGGTGGCTATTCCGGAGGCCTGCGGCTGAGTGTGGACTGCGTCAACAAGACGGAAAGTAACCTCAGCATCGACATAGCCTTCGCCTATCCTTTCAGGTAGGGCATGGTGCCTCCTGCTCCCTCTCCTTGCAGACATTGTTTCCTTCCTTCCATGGTTTCTTGTGGAAAAACGCAGTTTCTCAGGGGCTCAGGGGTGAAACAGAAGGATTGTACTTGCACAGCATGATTTGCAGATCACCTTGCACCACACCACACTGGGAGGATTTATGAGATGCACCCCCAAGCCACAACTGAATGTCTGTACAAATAAAAAACAGAAGCATCTCCAAAATGCCACTTGTGATGGGGCTGTTGATAGGAAAACCTCAGTGGTACAATTACCCCCAAATTACCTCTCCAGTCTCTAAGGTTTCCCACATTCTCTCTAGATCTGTCATCACCTCTAATTTCATATTATACAACTCTGCCTGATAACATATTTAATTCCGTACTGTATACAATTGCTGGACACTCTGGTTAGCTGTCTACCTGCTTAATCTCATTAAGTCCTCACAGTGACACTCTGAATGGTACTATGGTCATTACCATTTACTAGTGAGAAAACTGAGCCATGGTTACATTGCCCACATTCCCTGTGAGAGGCAGAATCAGGGTATAAGCCCCCTGGCTTAGGCAAGAATTCATATCTCTGTTGACAAATTGCTGGAATTAACATCTACAAAAATCAACACTTCATCTCTGCCTGTGTCCTGTATATTAAATGGTAGCTAGCTGTCTACTGAGATTCACCCCCGACTTTACTTTTTGTGATTCTGATCCATATGCCCAAAGTGGATTAAATGAATTCAATGCTAACATAGTTTATGTCTATAAAGTTCCTCATCACTTGCTATCAAGTAAATGATGTGATTTTCAAAAACAACTTTTCCTGTACTATTCTGACATCCTATTAATATACTGTACTCTCCTGTTCACCTCCATCGACAAATGTCCACTGAGTATTCATTTTGTACCATGTATCATCCTGGCTCTGAATTGCAGAAAAAGTTAAAATTGGCATCTGCAAACTTTTTAAACAGGTTTAAATTCAGTGTTTTCCAAAAATATTTTCCTGGACTCTTAAATAACTAATATTAGTAAAAAGATAAGGTAGAGAGAAGAAAAAAGAGGAAGTAGGAAAAAAGAAAAGAGGAATTGAAAGGAAGAAATTAAAAATTATGATTAAACAAGTTCCATAAATACTTTCTAGCATCTTGTGTTTCTACTGCATGCTTTGAATTAGAGAAAGGAAGAAAGACACACACACACACACACACACACACACACACACACACACACACACACAGAGAGAGAGAGAGAGAGAGAGAGAGAGAGAGAGAGAGAGAGAGAGAGACAGAATGTTTCCCAAATACATTTGACTACAGAAACTTTTTCCACTGCATGTCTGGAAGAACTGCCTCTCATGAAATGAACCTTTGATATATTGGTTTAGTGAGCTTTTCCTAGTCTACAGCAAAGGTGTCTCAACTGACAGATGATGAATCACAGGAAGTACTATTTATACTGCTACCCTGACCAGTTTTCAAGAGAACTGACAACGAGGTCTCCTAACTAATAAGAGAGTACAAACAGACATACTAAGCATGTTCTCTTTGGTAATTAGGTAAAGACAGCTGTGCTGTGCTGTGCTGTGCTATGCTGGTAGGAATGGGCATCTAGGTGCTTGGTGCTTTGGAAAGTGTTAGATAGACCACTGGGCTTCTGGACAAGCTGGTAAAATCAATCCCTAATCAACCCACACCACCCAGACCAGGAGCTAAGGTGTGCCAGTGGCCAGACAGTGGGGTTGGGATGCTCAAGAATATCATACATGAAGTCATAAGCTGTGCACTGCTTTTGCAATGATTTCCCACCAGGACACACAGTAAATCCAATGTTAATCCTCTAACATTTGAAAACAACAGGCCACTGAACATTGTGTTACTGGCTCAAAGCACTTTCTCTCAAGCTAGAGGAGAGCAATCAAGAGAAGTATTTGACTCAGGCATGGAGAGCAGAGAGCAGGGTAATATTTAATTTCATGCAATCTTTGTCTAAAGAGACAGCTCTTCAAGCAGACAGTTTCCACCATGGGGTTTCATCTCTTTCTTCCCAACTACAAGCTTAGCATTGGCTCAATAGAGGCAAACTGGACAAATTAGATAAAAATATCACCACCTGTAAATAAAGCAGCCCATTCATCTAATAGATTTTTACGTGCATTCTGAAATAAAGATGCTCAACTACTGATTTTCAGTAGCACAGCTTTCTTCCCCTCCCCCGAACATGATCTTATTGAGGAGCCCATGTTTAAGAGACCAGTAGGACCAGCTGGGAGCTCGCAGATCCCTTCCCACCAGCATCTGGCATCCTCCTGGCCTCCACTTGCTCAGCCTCACACACAGCCCAGCTCTTTCTGTGCGGTGGTGTCTTCTGGGCACTCCAGGTCTCTATTGTGTAGAATTAAGGAATTAGAACCACTCAGCATCCTTCCACAAAGCATGTTCCACTTTCCTTCCAGAAATGCTCCTCTAGGATTTGTACATAACACCCCAGAAAGCCTCAATTTTACTAGAGTTTCAACTTGGATACTTTAAAATGTTGCACTCTGCCCCATGGAGGAAGACCTCGGTGATGAGTTAGCCATTGTTTCAATGGTTACAAAGCCTTGTGCTTCAGAAGGAATTGGGTTATTGAGATACTGATGATGTAAGTCATTAAAAAGTTGTTTTCTCCTTAAGACCTCACATGCCAAAGATTTGATCTAATCCTAGATATAAAGTAGAAATGTTCAGCAGCTTTTAACTATTCAGTTTATTGCAAACACAAGGGAGACAATAAACTCAAATACCAAATTATTGGAACAAAGACAATTATTTAGTAACTGACAGATCAAAGGAAGTTACTTAAATATCAGACAAATATTTCAGGCTGTAAGACAAACTCAACTAGGAAATTCTAGATGCTTAACAAAATACTCAGGTGCTGCTTCTAATAATATCCCCAAAATGTGTTAGCTCCTTGGCATCACCATACGTGTATACTTGTGAATCATACCAGAAAAAACTGTCTTTCTCACTATAGAAATGAAATAGTTACCACCTGACCTTCCTTTTGATTTGTGATAGAAATCAGCAAGCTGTGTTGGACCAGCTTCTCCTGTATCATAATGTGCTTCCTGGGTCTGAAGCTTGCTTGATAATTAGGAGGAAGGAAGGCCTGGACCCCACTTGCAGCGCTTCCTTTTACGATGTGAAATAGTTCAAATTCATTTGAACTCACTCAACAGAGCTGTAGAGGGCCTGCCAGGGGACATTCTCTTTGTGCTATCACTTAATCAATAAGAGAGGAGGTCACAGCTGTGCATTTAAGTATCTATGGGAACAGAATTATAAATTGTAGCACATTCGTAAATTGTGCTGGGTAACCATTACAAACCATTTACTCAAATAAACGTAAAGATAAGTGAGATTTAAAGATACATGAGATGTTTCTCATGTACTACAAGACCAAATATATGCAATAAGGTGAATTTTCATAGCATTATACTAGTTGCTGGAGCAGATGCCATGGCTGCCCGGGTGTCCAATCCTTTCCCTCCAGGCCTATCTGAGTGCATGTCAAGTCCCTGTTCCCATTAGATGCTCTGCTGTAGCCATGAGGCCTTGTCTAGCCAACAGGCAGGACAGGCGAGAAGCATCCGGAAGCTTGTGTCTATTAGAGCAGCACTCCTTGGGTGACCAATGTGAGCTACAGGACAGCTCAGCCTTGGGGTGCAGCTCTCCAGGATGTTCCCAGCGGTCTCTCAGAAGGGACCAGCAGGACAGCTCCTCTAACCATGGAAACCCGATCATTATCACAGATTTTATAACATTTCCCTTTTCCTTTCCTGCCTCACTTTGCTGTTACTGTTAGGATGATTCCTCCCCAAAAAATCAGTTGTACTCAAATCTCAACCTCAGGTTCTGCTTCTAAGATCTTGGTGTTGCTTGGGAAAACTGTCATCGCTGAAGCGGGTGGCCTGGCTGAATGGACAGATTCATTTATCCATCAGTCAGTCCAGTAGACCCCTGCTTACCTGCACTCTGTGATCACGGCATACAGTATTGTTCTTGCAAAAACAGAAACAAAATCAAAACCCTAAAAAACAGCTTAGCTGCATGTTGTTGAAAAAAACTACTAATCTTTGCTGTTCCTCCTTTATGGATCACAGAGTATGATTTATTTCTGAGTGTTGTTATGAGTATTAAATGACACATAGGCAAAGTGCTTTAATAAAAAGGCCCTTGCATTCAGTAAATTTTCTTTTAGTACTTGCATAAGGAAGTAAGTGTAATTAAGCTAGAGAGATAAAAAGGTAATTATTCTAATTAATTGGCAAAATTAATCTTGAGAAACAAATGGCCTTTTATGATGTCGTATTTTACCCAGCACCAGGACTTCCACAGCCCTCTCCACCTACGTGTGAACATGTGATATACCCACTTAACCGTCTCACATTAACTGGCTTCTACATCTTCAGTGTTTGTTTTGGGTGCCCTAGGTGGCATTCTTATTATCAAGCCTATTTTTCTTTTCTCATTAAACCTAGGGGAGAATGAACCCCTCCCAAAGTGACAGAACTGAGAACTCTCGGTGCCACTAGCACCATCTTTAGGAGGGGTCTGTCACTGTGGGCTGGTAGTGTGAGACTCAGCCTCACCCTGGTGATGCTTGAAGCAATTCAAAGAGGGGTCGCCCACAGCAAGAGATGTGTGCCAGCTGAGGCTGCTCAGCTGGGCACTGGGCACTGTCCCCTCTCTGTGATTCTGGCATTTGGCCAGCTGTTCCCTTACTCCTCTCTGGATCACTGGGACGGGTGGAAGCGAGCACCAGGAGATAAGGTTTGGGGCTGTTGTCTAGTAAGGCTGGCAGTGGGGAGTCTTCTTCCCTGTGAGCTCTCCCTAAAAGCCAATTTGGGGGATATAAACTGTTAAAGAATGCAATTTCTGTATCGTATGTTCAGGAAATGCTGCATTTGCAATTACATTTAAACATTTATTTGTTTCTCATTACCA